TCGTCAATGATTATGTTTCTTAGCTAAAAATTATTAGGTGTTTGGATTAGAGGATTTAATAGGAACTCCTTAGCAACTAACTAATTCTTAGTAGATTAATGTCAACTTTAATAAAATAGAATGTCATGGTTGTTACCATTTTGACAGTTTCAATAGAAACAAACCATAATTTGGGATGTTCTTCTTTCCTCARTAGATTAGCATCTGTGTTAAGTTCTTCTTTCCTCAGTGGACTAGTATCTGTGTTAAAAAGAGTAGCAATATCACAGTACAGTCATGTATTTAGCACAGAACCAGGACTTTGAAATCAGAATATCTTGGGTTCAGATCTCAGCCCTGTTTCTTGGTAGTTGTAATAAACATTAGCTGAATGGTTTAACTTGTATTGGTTGATTTCCTCACTTATATAAAATGAGTCCAATTCTGCCTTATTGGACCATAATGAAGAATAAATCAGGTGGTATAAAGTAATGTACTTGGTGAAGTGCCAGGCACAAAGAAGTGATAGCTGTGACAATTAGCTCAGTCTCTAATAGTTATAGTGTGTATTAACCAGCTCCTATGTGCCAAGCACTTTGGCAAGCACTGAGAATACTTGTCTTATAGCCTCTGCTCCTAGGGATTTTTCTTGCCTCTCTAATCTCATTGGGGAGAGGGAGTGTAGGGGGTAGTTCCTGCAGTGCTGTTTATCAGGCTGGTACTTCTTAATCATAGTTCTTATTTAACTTTCTAATGAGGTATCCTCCCATTACTTGGCTAACGCAGACCCATTGCCTTGAAGTGCATATGGTATTATCTGAATTGGGGAAAATATTCTGTGGGTTTATATAGCAGTCAGTGATATTTGGATACCTGACATATGCCAAATATAATTTGGGTAGGGCATTGTATTTGTGCCATTGATATTATATTGTGTTTTTCAAAGAAACTTTCTAACTTGAGACTAATTTTCCTGGTTGTGGTTCTGTTAGATACCTAAAATTGGAATTTGAGGCCATATAAACCTAACTTGAGGGTATGACAATTTTATTCACTTGTTTATTTGGCTAAAAGAAGTAATGAGTTATCCGTTTTGATTGTCCCTGAGTGACCTTGGATTTTAAATAGACTTTAACAGATACAACCAGAGAGTACTTTAACTGACAGTCATGCTTTATTTGGATAATTCAAAATGACAGGCTAGCACTTTTTAGTACTTGGCACAGTCAGAAAATATTCATGCTATACAAATGGTTTCCCCATGGATTAGAGGTGAAAGGGTTCTATAGGAAAGGTCTAAGAATCCAGAATTGTCTTATTTTCAAATGTTAATTCTTGTCATTTTTACTATGAATACTAAGAAACCACAGGGGAATTGTGTGAACCTTTTCACATTTTAATTGGCTTAATCTAGAGGAGCCTTTAGGAGAAGGTACTAGAATGATGAGAATAAGAATTCTGGTTGATGGGACCTGAAATTACAAGAGCCCTTGATCAAAGGTTACATTGCCTCCTAGCCTTAAAACTTTCTTACTGATAGATATCTACTGAATTATCTTGTTATATTGTGTGCACATATGGATATATAACAACAAATCCCACTATTATGTATAATTTACAATGTACCAATGAGAATAGTCAAAAGAAGTTCTTAAAAAAGCTTTTTCTTACTAATAAGAATASTAACAATCACCTCTATTTTTGTAGAATTTTTTTTTAAATCAAAATACTCAATACTGTCTCCTTTTGACAATTTTGTGTGGAGAAAATCTGATGCCATTTTCTTTTAAAATGGAAATATTAAATGAAGAGGYCCAGGATTATATCCATTTGCTGTTTGTTCTTTGCTGCTGGGTGGTTATCAGTTGTAGAATCCATTTCTTTTAGCCTCTTGTTTTCTCCTTTGTTTAATCCTCTCATTCATTTAGTTTTAGAGTTAGTTTCAATATCCCAGTATCCTCCAGTGAATCATTCTTTACTCCATCTTCAGTTTAATGAATCTAAAAATTAAAATTCAGAATTTTTTAAATGAAGCTAACATTTGCTTGTGGTGCCCTTCTTTATCAGAAAAAAAAGAATAAAATAAGAAATCATTGTTTCTTTGTGAATAAATCAGTGCAACTTATGTCTTCAAATATTTGATTTTAGAATTAATTGCAAACACAAATTGCAACTTAGTTTAGATCTATTACTAATCAAAGTTTATCCTCATATAATATCCTCTGCCTGTAAGTCAATGTCATGAATTGAGCCAGAAGGGAGTATGACAGCCAGAGCTATGAATTGCCATTTGGCTGTGTAACCTTTGAAGTTACTTGAACTCTCTGAGCTTATTTAGTTTTAAAGTACCTGCCCCCTCTTTGCTGTGTTCATATGAGAGTGAATATAAGCTGCTTTGTGCAAAATACTAGGAAAATAATAATTCAAATATACTGGTGACTATGCTTTAAATGTTTTTTAAAAAATTATTTTTGTATCTGACAGTGCAGTACAATTTCAGTCAGTTCAGTTCTTTAAGTGCCTGTGCACGAAAAGTTAAAAACTAACATAGAAGCAAATTTCMCCATACCTTTGCTGAAGATTTGCTAAATGCAAGGCAGGATTRCAGGTGCTGGGAGTGTAGGATGGAGGCATGGCTCCAGACCTCAAAGAACTCACAGCCTGGTTGGAGAGATAGGTAAGCAAGCTAATAGGTAGGACAAGTGCTGTAGGTAAAAAGAGTGGAGGGGTGGGGTCTGAGAATAATTCTCTAAGGAGCAAAACTAGAGCCAAATCTTGAAGAAGGTGAGTGCAAGTTTTTTAGGCAGAGAACTAGAATTGGATATTCCAGGCAAAAGGGAACAGCAGAGAAGACAGAGATTAGAAACCAGCAGCAACTTGGCATGAATCAGGGGGTTCTGTCTGGAGACATAACAAGGTCCCAGATCATAAAAAGCCTTATGTGTTAGGCTTCAATGCTTGAATTTTGTTTTGACATTATTTGGGGGAAACATTTGAAAGATTTTGAGCCAGCAAATGACATAATCAAAAATATAGCTTAGAAACATTTACTAAAGCAGTTTTCTCTATTATATTTCAATCTGGTTCRTTCTAGTAGTACAGTGAAAATCAACTTCCATATCAGAGGAAACAATTATCTTGTTTAACATAAGTCTATCATCACTTTGATGTTAGATACTTGTATATTTATGATCTTTGTTGAAAGCTCTGAAAATTGCCACCCAGATCTTTAAATTTTAGTAGCTCACAGGAGAAAGATACAAAGTTCATCATATCTGACAATCTCATTTCTTGTACTATTATAGCATGGGGCCAAGAAGAAAAATTTTGCTTTTGGGTACTGTCCAACASTCTCAGCCTTTTAACACAGTTGGCATGAGGATGTCATAGACATTCGTTCCAAAGCACAATTCTCACATGGTAATGATCCTTCATCATAAGTATATTGCGCTTGACAGTGAACAGTAAGAAACTGCTGTTTGATGTGTTTTACATTGCACATTACACAATCTCTTTCTGTAGCTGATTTATAGAACCAAGAACATTGGCTATGTATAACCTTATTGAGACCTCGTGACTCTGAGTCCCTCACCTCTTAAGTCAGACCGACTCCATAGTTGTCTACTTGACTGTCTATCTTCCAGCCCCATTTCTATCTATGAACATGGTAGGAAACCCTGTCTCTGAATTTGAAGAAACTTTGTAATGTGGTTTCCATACTTGTATTCCAAGTGTTGCCCAGTTTTCTAGCATCTGTTTTAACCTATTTAGAAAGCCAATACACTCTGCCTTCACTTCCCTCCCAGGACATGGGCAGCACAYGATTCTTCCTATGTAAACCAACTCCTGCCCAATAGACTGTGTTTGTACTTGTCCTTGAGAGTCTTCAGAGCTTTCAGATCTACATAATTTCCTGCCTCTGACTTTATTTGGCCCCAATTTTCCAAAACACAAACATGTAAAACCAGCATGAAAATGTAGTCTACTAATGTTTTGAACAAATTCACATCTATAACAGGGCAATGAGCTCTAGTGTCATTAGAAAAATATRCATGAGTTTGAGTCAGCAACTAATCATTTGTTAAACTGAATCTACCAGATATCTAATAGCTATACTGGATCCCTTACACACTTTACCAAAACATCCCTATMAGAAAGGTTTCCATGCAGGAATTGGACTTCAGGGCCTCTACCACACCCAAGAGTCATAGCTATTAGGGGTGGACTTGGAGTGGAATTCYGGGTATGTTCTTCTGTGTAAGTGGTCTTCCCACCATGCAACTTTGTCCTCAATAGTGAATCTTTAGATAAAGTGAACATTGTTAAATAATGCTTTACCCTGGTATAAAGCTTCAAGGTTTATAAGGTACTTTCACTTACATCTCATTTGATTTATAGAATTACACTGTGAGGTAAGTATAATTTTCCATGCTTTACAAAACAAACAAACAAAAAATAAGATTCCATAAAATTAAATGACTTGCATAACATTCATAAACTTTTAAAAAGTCATATTTTCAAAATCAAGAACCCTTTAAGTTGAGTACACTTGTATTGCTCACTTTATGACACTAGGAATTATTTGTTGCTGTGACCAAAGATTTACTGACTGCAAACTGATCCCCGTGGGGAAAATGTGTATGACATTTCTTTTGGTCCACTTCCAGATTTCCACTGCATTAATGTTGGTTTATGCAGTCTCTCTATGAAATGTTTGTTTTTCTCCCTGATTAGATAGAACACATTCCACATATGAACATATCCAAGTATAAACTGTGCATCTGCTGCACAGGATTATTAGACAACAAACAAACCAACAACAACAACAACAACAAAAATCCTTCCCTTTTGTAGGTGCTTTTTTTTTTTTTTACATAGAATTTGTTCAGGATCTTTTAAAGCTGATAAGATTATAGTAATGATACATGATGTATTTTGCTTTCAAATATTTTCCCTGATGTGGAGTATGTATAGATTTTATAACTTGAATATTCATTATAGCTATTCATCTTTTTCTTCAGGTTTTGTGATGAAGGAACCTGCACAGATAAAGCCAATATTCTGTATGCYTGGGCAAGAAATGCTCCTCCTACCAGGCTTCCCAAAGGTACTTTGGAAACTTCTTGAAGAGTGTCCTGTTTGCTGTTGTATTCTGTTTCTGAAGTCCTTTTTACATGATCCTTTCTGATAGTTGTTGATAATATTCTATGTTGCAATATAACACTAAAAAGTTTTTGCATCAGTTACTTTGTATTGACAGATTCATTTAGGTAGTTACTTTTTCTCTACTTCTCATTGGTAAGTAATTTGGCCTTACAACAGTTTAGATTGAATTAAAAAATAGCCAAGTATACCTCAAGCCACCTTTGGCCTAAAAAGCACGTTGGCTCTTGAYAGCAGGAACATTTCATGAGCCAAGAGAGCTAGGAATTAAATAAATTGCTGTTTCAGCAAACAGATTTTTTTTTATATAGTCCTGGAACCCAGATGTTTAATGTGATGCCAAACCTCAGCTGGCTTTCTAACTTAACCTCTAAACTGTTGATAGCTTCCAGTGTGTGACTGAATTACCAGACTCTCTTTTATTACCTGGATGTTTCTTGATATTAAAGGGATAATGTGGTTCTATTGCAGAATAGGTCTACTATGATTTGGGGATGGTCTTGTGATCCTCTCTTGCCTCCCTTACTCATGCCAGCATCACTAATTGATGTCTGTTTTGCATTACTTCAAGTGGGGCTCAGGATTCTGTCTATAGTTTATCATGTGGCTACCACCAAACAAGTTTAAACACTAATAGAGTATTTAAAATCTRTCATAGATTTGTCAGCCTTTTAAGAGCAGATGGAAAATTTTATTTTCTCTGTCTGTAAAACTTTTCTAAAAAATCTCAATAGTTGGGGCTGGAGACGTGGCTCAAGCGATAGCACGCTCACCTGGCATGTGTGCGGCCTGGGTCCGATCCTCAGCACCACATACAAACAAAGATGTTGTGTCCGCCGAAAACTAAAAAAAATAAATATTAAAATTTTCTCTCTCTCTCTCTCTCTCAAAAAATAATCTCAATAGTAAACTCTGTCTCTTAACAGTAACACTATTATAGAACTCTTTAGATTCCAAAAATTCCATGACATACTGGACTTTTTAATTTAGTTAGTAACTGGCTTCCTCAATGACATATTTGTGGATACCTGTTTTTATATGGGAAGAAAAGTAATTCCCCTGTATGCTCTTAAGAAGTCTTTTCCCTTTACTAATTAGAAAATAAAATGAATATATGGGTGTGTCCAAATATAAAACAATATGAAAGAATATGTATGTCTTTTAAAGAATCAGCAGGGACAAAGTGAGGTGTTTTTTTGTTTTGTTTTGTTCTGTTTCTTTCAGAGTGATTGAATTGTGTGGTTAAAGTAACAGTGATTACTCTGGTATTGAAGTGAAAACTATGAATGGAATTCCACCAAAGCTTTGAAAAGAAATGACATATTAGAAATTAGAAATGCCTAGTTTATTTTTGTTTCTGTGTAACATAATTTCATAGGTTATATGCTATTTTATTTCCCTTTGGATATTATAGATCAGCAGAGCAAGATTATTAGCTCCATTGTAGACTTCAGTTTCTAAAATATTAATTTATCCTTTGTAAATTTTTAGGTGTTGGATTCAGAGTTGGAGGAGAGACTGGAAGCAAATACTTTGTACTACAAGTACACTATGGAGATATTAGTGCTTTTAGRGGTAAGTTTTTAAATTGTCAGGCTGAACATAATTTTTAGTAATATATTGCTTAAATAGGTTTACTGTTATCCACATAATYAAATGAAGGTTTTCTCACCCTCTGCCCACTAGGGACAGCTGTCTTCCTTTCCTTTAATTTGTAATTACTGAAGGAATGACTTTTAAGTTATTTCTCTTATGCAAACATGCATCCAATGGTGCTTTCTCTTAAGCTGACATTATAGAGTTGTTTTGCTTTTCAGTKCATTGCCTTATCTGCCAGCTCCTACCCCTATCAGAAATGCCACTCATTCCAAGCAACACTATTAGAAAGAATAGAAAGGGACTGGTGTTTATTTATGTTACTATGAGCCAGGCATTGGGAGAGTCTACAGGTTCTGCAGTGCCAGGGAAGTTCTCATACACTCAGGCAAATGCCAAGCTTTATGTATAATCCACACCTGCCACTTCATGAAGTCATTGTAGTCCACAGCACAAACCCCATCCACTGGTGGACTTGGCTAAGTAYTCCCAGATACCTCTTGGCTCTACCCATGAGTATTATGCACTGTATTTAAATGCCCCTTTTCTCATTATAGAATCATTAACATGAGGCATGGGCCCTGTTCCCAAGGCAACCAGCTCCAGGGCTTGTTATCCCTTCTGCTGCATTTAGCCACATTCCAGCTGCATTCTGRATTCTCACTCTTGTGTCTGTGAGAGCGTAAATATTAAATAGAGCTCTCTTTGGCTTGTTGGCTTTTTTATTGTGTCTTGCTGTATTGTATGTACTTTCTCCTGTATTCTCTATTTAACATCATAACTCTACTGACTAGCCTGATACATTTTCTTTTCCAAATACATTAGTTGTCCATCTGGCAACAAAGTCTAGAAGTAGTTGTGTGTCTAAGCCTATGAAATACCCTCTAGAGCCTTTCCTGAGAGAGTCCCATATGGTGGAAAGGTCCATAGATTGTCAGCACTAACATCAAACATAGTAAATATAGTTTTCCTCAGAAAATAGTGTTGAAAAGAATATGTGTATATAACTAAAAAACTAATTAGCACTATAGCTGCACATATCATCAGTTAAACAATCTCCTGTGGACCAGCTTGTGAACCTAACTAACAAACAAAACTGTTTTATATCAAAAATACACTTTTGAGTTTTACACAAATAGYTTTACACAAACAGTTATGGAACAGAATCTAATCTTAAATTGTAAGATCTCTGTACTGTTGAAAAAAAGGATTTGTTGAAAATMCTGTTTGTGTTTTAGAAAAAAACAGCAGAAATTATCTAAAAACTTACCACCTTGGCTTCCRTGAAACAGGCAGATTCTAAGACAGCTGACCTCCACAGTCTTGACAAAAATCATAATTATTTTTTCAACATGGCAAGCAGACCTTCCCAACCATGAGACTAAGGCAGCACACTGTACCCCTACACATTTTCCTAACCCTTCACCTCTATCCTTCTCTAAAACCTCATACTTCACTTTTTATCCTAATTCCTCTTGGTTTTTTAGTACCATAGATGCTGTACTGATACCTGAGAGAAAATGGATGACGTATATTWGTATTTTTWAAAAATATATTACTGTAATAATTTAATTTCTTACTGATGAGTTAATTTTGTTTTATAATTTATGTTTAATCTAAGGGTAATAAAGTACTGACTTTAAATATATAAACAATTCTTTACTGTAAGACAGATGAGAAACTTAATGTAGTAATTTTTCATTTTCTTCTAAGAACAGGTTTTCTAAAAGAAGTTATATATAAGGTAGAATGATTACTAGTGTTTGAATTCATAAAACTTATTGTARTAGAATAAAAAAMCAAAAAAACTTCAACATGTAATTCATCCAGTACCATTAGGTACTGTCTTGCCTCTTAAGCTATATGTGGTTTAGAACAGTAAATAATTGCATGATAAAATACAAATCTCATTAAAAACATGAAATAGCATTTTACATTTATTAAATTTGAAGTGGGTAAAGATTGAATTATGAAACCCAGGATTACAAGGTTTTCAGTGACTCTGGTAGTTTGAGAGGCTTTATAAATTAGTATAATATTTTGGAAAGCAATTTTATCATTCCATATGCACTTAATATATAAGAGTAAAGTCTTGTTCCAAGGTTTTTTTAAACTTAGTTTAAAACATATTTTTTTTAGTTGTAAATGGACACAATACCTTTATTTTATTTATTTATTTTTATGTGGTGCCAAGGATCAAACCCAATGCCTCACATGTGCTAGGTAAGCACTCTACTACTGAGCCACYACCCCAGTCYTTTGTTCTAGGCTTTTATTCTGAAGAAAGAGATTTCTTTTTTCCTAACAAGGAACTGCCTACCAACAGCTATTTGTGCATCAATAACTATTAATATGAAAAACTGGAAAGCTAACAAATGTTTTTAATAGGGGACTGGTTAAATGAATGSCAAAACAATATGTTTAACAAATAATAAAATTTAATACAGACTATATAAGGGTATATGTATGCTTGTATGTTTATAAGGATTGTAAAGAACAAGGGGAAAAAAGGGAAACAATTATGARCAAAAAAGATAGGAGTGTGTGAATTTTTCMCTTGAAAACATTATAATGTTRCCTTTATAATTACATTTTTAAATTCCACAAGTTTTAGCACCATATTACATCCTTCAGTATCTGCTGGTTAGTRTTCTACCTTCCCACTGGTTCCCTCATGACAACAAAAGAATTAATGTAATTATTACATATGCCTGATTTGCTATAGGAATGAATTGTGTTTTTAAATAGGTTCTATATTACAATCCCTTACTTATCTTCTTATGTACCCAGAAGTGGGAATAATATCATCATATCTTATAATTATTAAAAATGCTTTAAGTATTCACCAGGTGTAGAAGTACATGCATGTAATCCCACCAGCTCTGGAGGCTGAGGCAAGAGGATCACAAGTTCAAAGCCAGCCTCAGCAATTTARCGAGGCTGTAAACAACTTAGCAAGACCCTGTCTCAAAAGCAAAAATAATTTTTAAAAAGGTCTGAGGATGTTGCTCCATGATTAAGCACCCTTGGGTTCAATCTCTGGTACCAGGGGAGAAAAATAAATAAATAAATATGCATTATATACACATATATGTATATATACACATACACAAATATACACTCATATAATTTATCACTGTTTTTAGTACCAGTGTCAGTGAAGATTAGAACTTGATGATTTAAAAATATTAATAATATATCATGTATATAAATTGTAAATCAGAAGAACACTACTAGAAAATTAACAAATTCTACTGAAATGTGAGGAAATATTTGGTTTAGGGGAATGAGCATTTTTTTTCCACCCAGGGATGGTTTTAAGGATTTGAGAAACCTAAGACTTTTCTAGAATAAAGCACCAGCAGGGAAGATAAAATATCTTCTCAAACGTGTGGGAATTTGATAGAGTTTCAGAGACAGCATAACCTGAAATCAGCAGGGTCCATCTGTATGGACTGTGTTCTCTATTTGTAGGAAAAGATTGGCTGTGAGTTCTGCGGGATTACATGAGATGTATGTTTTATTTTGTTTGTTTGTTTTTGGAAATTGCACAGAATGTGAAGCTATAAAAAGATCATTTAAAAACAGTCAACTTTATGAAATGCCATGTCAATCACAGTGTTGGGCCTGTGCTGGTGCTGGATATACTAACCTTCCTGCCCAGCAGAGTTTATTGTGTTCCAGCAGGAGTGACAAGGACAAAGAGAGCGTGTTTATAGGCAATAGTAGAAGTACTGTGGAGAGGCAAGAGCAGCCAGGTTGACCTAGAAGGGCAAAGGGTCTGAGAAGGCTTCCTAGAAGGTGGAACCAGAATAGGGTTTCAAAGGCCGTTCAGGAGCTCCCAGGTAGGCAGAAACATGGTGGGAGATACCTTAAAGATAAAGGTAAAAAGCATGCACAGGGGTACTGGAGTGAAACAGCCTCCCATATCCAGGGAGCTCTCRGCAATTTGGCATTACCGTAGTGAGAGATGGGACGGGAGTAGAGGCAAGAAGTGAGAAGAGAGGTGAAACTGAGGCACGAGGCCACTAAGATCCCTGGTAGGACTTCATTCTGAAAGCACTCATAGTGTTATTCCTCCAAGTATTCAGATTGGAATTTTATTTCACAATGCTGGGAGCTTTTCCACAGCTCTGTAGAAAGGATTGGGTGTGTAGGTMGCCAGAGAGAGCCACATTGGGGATCAGGAAGGTCAGAATGATTTCTTTTTCAAATGTGGACTTCTGAATTTTTTACAAATTAATATTTCATGTAAACGGAATATAGTCTATTTAGAAGTGAAATTCCCATGGTAGCATGGTACAGGGCTTAGTGGCCAAACTCCTAAATCCAGACAGCCTGGGATTGGCATGGGCTAGTTGTGTTACTCTCACCATGCCTCTCTTTGCTCTCTGCATCTATAAAATTGGATTGTAATGGTTTGTATAAAAGTACCTGGTAAGTAGTAAGTTGTTACTTGTTATTATAGCCCCTGTATAAAGATAAATTTCCCCAAATGCAACTGTTAGTCATAATTGCCCATGATATAGAGGATGTTGGTTCCTTCTAAAGCATTGTGTTCATGTTTGTCACATTGCCAGTAGAATTTTCCTAGTTATGTGGAGTTTCCTGTTCTCCACAGCCGTTTTTATTTATTTATAGTTCAGCTACACAAAGGGCAAAGACCACATTCTTGCCCTTTTAGGAAATTAGACTAGTGGAAATGGAGGATTCCACCTTGTCTCCCTGCCCCAGCACCCCCACAAACATACAGTGTTTTCTTTGATTTGGTCAATTTTTTTTTTAAGCAAAGTCTGTTTTTCTCTTGTTTGTTTTCTTCCCCAACAAATTTTCTGAAGACAAAATTCCTATGAGATTTTATAGAATAATGCTGAATTTTTTTTAATGTTTTGGCCCAGGAGAATCTTATGAAAACTGCCTTCTCATTTCTGGAGTTTCTGGCAGAAGCTTCCTAATCTCCAACAATAGTACACTTCTCA